TTTACGATGATTACTTAATTTTATTTCGTCTATCTTTGGTGAGAGCGCGCACAGTAGACGGATTCTTCATTTGATTTGAGTTATTCAAAAACAGGAATAATTTCCCAAAAGGAGGCTGGGCTTTTCAAATAGAATTCGCTCCTTTTTTAAATTTTAAAATGAGTACAAGAAGTGTTGTGATCATTTATTTCACAAACTGACGTCGCTTCAGCCATTAGATTTTCTCCGGTGCAAAAAAATCCGAGCATTTGCTCTCACTACGGTCTTGAAAAATATTTCCAAATGAAAATATATTTCTTATTTACGGAGATTTCATTTTTTTGCGCTGTTGGTGGAATTGGCTCAATAATTTATCAGTTCAAGTTGCCGTCAATCAGGAGGAGTAAACGGAAGCTAATTATCAATTTATAATTTAATTGATTTATTAACAAAAAATTTGAATTTGAAGTATATCCTGTGGAAATAAGTAAAATTTTCGATTAATTATAAATTAATTCATATTAAATTATTTGTTTTGAATCGTATAAATTCGAAATTTCGATACCAAAAGTAGATGTTTATTTCTCTTTCTCTCATCGGTTGTTCGATTTATACTCACCGATTTGAATAAACATGACACCGAATGAAAAAAGTATCGCTACTAAATAATAGTCAACCTGTCACCTAATAATTTAAGGATTTGTATTCAGCAAAATTTAGTTTACAATTACCCGTTCGTTATTCACAATGTTCGCTTATTTCATGACATTTTTTAAAAATTCAGGGTTGCTACCACGCATAACGTTGGTGGAAAATCTATAATCTAATCTATAATTTAAAATAGTTAACTTTGAACAAAAAATATTTTAAATGAGCTGAATATCCTCATTGTGAATGATAGAGTACAACGGTTACTAAGTGAACTCAAATAAGATTGAGTTTCTAATGAATTTAATTGTAAAATACAGACCTTAAAGATGCCTATTCACATAAAATGACGCATATTTCTTGAATTCTACACATGATTATTGCAGCAAAATATATCCAGAGGCTTAAAACCAACATAATGTGCAAATTATTCAAACTTATTTTCAATATTCCTTTTTTAAAACTAAATTCGTATAAATATTTCATTTGATGACTCAAACCTACGTAAGGTCTTAATACTTGAGTCATAAATTTGCTTAAAAGAAACCTAACCAAATTCAAAATTCGGTCATTTTATGAACAAAGTAGTCGTCTTTATTTTTTAAAAAACCTAATTTTATTTTCCGCAAACATTGATTAATTCAGCTATACTATCAAAGACATGAATTGTTGTTGAGGAAAATTTTTCTGATGACAAATACCTTGGAGAAGAGATCGCATAGTTAATTTAATTTAGATGTATTATTTTGATCTGGGGAGTGGAAATAGTGTTGAGAATTGTTTTATTCACTGGATTATGGATATCGCTTTCAGAAAAATCTTTCGTAGATCTTGCGGTGGAATAAGTGTTTGACCGTAACATTTTAAACCTTACTAAAAACACATATTAGACGCAGTGAATTCCTGTGAACAATGATTAACATTGACAACGGTGTAAGAGCAATGGTTACATTCGTCACTGACATGGTGCGTGCTGGCCGAACTCTTAATCTATTTGGTCATTCATAGTATGAGATAATTTATCGTCGAATGAAGTCAATTCTAAGGACAGTGAGGATAAGAGAGAACACCACCAATTGAATGAATTATCAGATTATGCTAAAATAGGTCAATGTTTTAAATTTAATAATAATAATAACAAAGCAAACACTTTAACTTTGTTTTAATTGATGTTAATGGAATGCATTTTCTTCTAGCTTTCCGTCCTTCACGGCATCCATCTTTGGGGTGTGCGATAGACTTACCTCCACGTGGTGCACCCGGTGGGTGTGCGATAGACTTACCTCCACGTGGTGCACCCTGGGAAACGTATACTCATACGGTAAAAAGTCTATTAACCGGAAGTTTGTGTGCGATAGACTTACCTCCACGTGGTGCACCCTGGGCAGCGTATTTTCTTACGGCAAAAAAGTCTATCACTCGGCTTTCGTTATATTCATACGGCAAAAAGTCTATTAACTGGCAGTTAACTACGATAGACTTACCTCCACGTGGTGCACCCTGGGCAACGTACTTTCTTACGGCAAAAATTCTATCACTCGGCATTCGTTTTTCAATAGACTTACCTCCACGTGGTGCACCCTGGGCAACGTATATTCATACGGCAAAGTCTATTAACTGGTAGTTGACTTCTCCGCATACGGCAAAAAAGTCTATTAACCGGCAGTTTTCTTCTCACTTCAAACTACCATGACCCCCCTATATGTCCTACATTCTCATACGGCAAAAAAGTCTATTAACCGGCATTTGACATGACTTCAAACTACAATCACCCCACTGTATGTCAAATTCGACTACTTGACTTCAAACTACCATCATCCCACTCTATGCCATATTCGTAAATTCGACCACTTCAACAGTACTCATCTTACCTTTTCTCTTCGACTTCTCACTTCAAACTACCATCACCCCACTGTATGTCAAATTCGACCCCTTCCACAGTACTCACCTCACCTTTGCTCTACTGTCGACTTCTTCCACAGTACTAACCTCACCTTTTTTCTACCTATTTCTCACTTCAAACTACCATCACCCCACTGTATGTCATATACCTCTGACTTCAAACTACCATCACCCCACTGTATGTCATATTTCACCACTTCCACAGTACTCACCTCGCCTTTTTTCTACCTTCAGTTGACTCTGACCCCACTGTATGTCATATTCGACTAAGGCAGTTGACTTCTCACTTCAAACTACCATCACCTCACTTATGTCATATTCGACCCCTTTCACAGTAATCATCTTACCTTACTGTGTCATATTCGACTACTTCCACAGTACTCACCTCACCTACAGTTGACTTCTCACTTCAAACTACCATGACCCCACTGTACGGTAGTTGACTTCTGACTTCAAAGACAAAAAAGTCTATTGATCGGCAGTTGACTTCTGACTTGCAAAAAGTCTATTGATCGGCAGTTGACTTCTGACTTCAAACTACCATCACCCCACTCTATATCATATTCGACTATTTTTACAGTACTCACCTCACCTTTGTCCATATTCGACCATTTCACAGTACTCACCTCACCTTTTTTCTTAAATTCGACCACTTCAACAGTACTCATCTTACCTTTTCTCTTCGACTTCTCACTTCAAACTACCATCACCCCACTGTATGTCAAATTCGACCCCTTCCACAGTACTCACCTCACCTTTGCTCTACTGTCGACTTCTTCCACAGTACTAACCTCACCTTTTTTCTACCTATTTCTCACTTCAAACTACCATCACCCCACTGTATGTCATATACCTCTGACTTCAAACTACCATCACCCCACTGTATGTCATATTTCACCACTTCCACAGTACTCACCTCGCCTTTTTTCTACCTTCAGTTGACTCTGACCCCACTGTATGTCATATTCGACTAAGGCAGTTGACTTCTCACTTCAAACTACCACCACCTCATGCACTATGGGCAACGTATACTCATATGGCAAAAAAGTCTATTAACCTGCAGTTGACTTCTGACTTCAAACTACCACGACCCCCAAACTTGTCATATTCGACCCCTTACACAGTACTCACCTTACCTTGTCATATTCGACTACTTCCACAGTACTCACCTCACCTTTATACCTACCTCCTTGTTTCTCTCTCTTTTACATCTTTGAATCACTCTTCTGTTTTCCCCGTCTCTACTTTTTTCACTTTGATGTTCCTTCCCTTCTGTGAAGCCTGAAATCAGCTGAAGGGCTAATGAAAGCTATCAAAATGCCTGCCTTTTGAAATAAATAAATAAATTTTAATGGAATTCAGAAAATTTAAATCATTATATCCGGATAATCGGAATTTAGTTAAATACAAGATGTTTAAATTACATTTTTTATCTTACCAAGACGATGTTTATAAGAGTGGAGTAATAAAAAATTCTCCATGCAAAATAGACAATAGCATTTTTGTGGGGGCGGTTAATGTAAATTGAGAAATTTCAGTTTCTAACGAAATTCGATACATTTCTTCAATTGCTTTGAAATTGAGTTTATTTTCAAACTCTTCACTTTAGTAGGGCTCTAACTGAAAATAACCTTTCCAACTAAAGAGAATTAATTTTATAAAATAGCGGTTTTATTTTGAATTTATTTGGAATTTAAACAGCTAAAAATGAAGATGACGATTGATTGAAGATCAATAAGCCTTTCTTCGGAATACTAAATTAATTAAAAATAATGCTGAAGTCCACAGCAATGCCGAATTGTTGCGTCAGTTCAGTGCATCTGTTAATTAACGTTTGAATTTGAGCATGGCCTCAAACTTCTTTAACTCATTGAAAAATATTATTTTTACTCATTTCGATTGTGTGATAGACTTACCTTCACGTGGTACACACTGGACAATGCATACTCATTATGCGAACAAGTCTATAACTCGGCAGTTGATTTCAAACTTCCACGGCCCGACCGTATGCCATATTCAATCACTCACTACACCTTTCCTTTATTCATATGTCTGTCAGACTCTTTTACATCTGTGAATCACTTTTCTGTTCCCTCCTCTTCACTTTTTATGATTCTGTCTGTTTCTTCCCCTTTGTAAAGCCTGAAGCCAGCTAAAGGAGCGGATGGTTGAGTCTCATCCACTTTCTCACACTCTTTGTTTTTTCCTAGTTCAAAATTCGACATAATATCACCCCCTTTCCTCTTCGTGATCACTTGCTGAAAGCAACAACATTTTGAATGATTTTGAAATTGACACATTAATTTTTTTCAAATTTTGACTTCAGCCTCCCCCCGTGGGTTAGGGGGTATATTTAGAGCAGTAAATTAATAGCAGTTCATTAGCTGTCTTCTTGCTTCCCAGTATCTCTGGGTATTCGTCGTTGTTTTTAGGGCTGGATACCGAATCAGGTGGGTCTTCTTCATTTCCTCCTATAGGTTACATAGGGGACATGTGGGTTGAGTGTATACTCCCAATCTGTGAAGGTGTTTTGCCAAGCAATCGTGTCCGGTACGAAGTCTAAACTCAGCAACGGCTTCGATTCTTGGCCAGTCGGCTATGTCGGAGAGTGCCACTATCCACTGTTTCTCCTTTGTTCGAGCTTTAAGTTTGTTGCACCATGTGGTCTTGAATTCTCTTCTGATTAAGGCCTTCATTGTTTCAGCAAGCTCATTGCCTTTAATGCCACAGTGACCAGGAATCCATTNAAGGGGGAATTTTTACTCTGCCAGAACGATGGAAAAGGTCATCGACAAGAACGGACAATATCTAACTGAATAAAGTTATATCTTTAAACGAAAATTCCAAATTCGCCTTCTTATTTGAAATCAGCAATGACTTCGTTGCCAACCTAATATTATCATTTAGATTTATATAAAATAGTCTTCCTAATATTTTTCATAAAGATCGATATGTTTAATTTATTTTCAGCCTTTCTGAATTTATTGACAAATCCACAGCAAGATTCCAAAAAGAGCAACTAAATGAGGCAAAATTAATCTTCAGTGAATTTTTGAAAGAGAGAGTCTCGAACAATTGCTTATGGAACTGTAATCAAATGGCATGCTTTGTGATATTTATCATGAGCCATTAAACTTTGACTTCAGCTCCCCTCAAGTGTGGGGGGTACATTTATAGCAGTTAATTAATAGCCGTTTTCTTGCTTCCAAGTATCTCTGGCTTTCCGCCGCTGTCTTTAGGGCTGGACACCGAATCAGGTTGGGTCTTCTCCATTTCCTCCTGCAGGTTACATAGAGGGCTTGTGAGTTGAGTGTATGCTCTCAATCTGTGAAGATGTATTGCTAAGCAATCGTGTCCGGTACGTAGTCTAAACTCAGCAACGATTTCGATTCTTGGCCAGTCGACTATGTCGGAGAGTGCCACTGTCCACTGTTTCTCCTTTGTTTGAGCTTTAATTTCGTTGCACCTTGAGGTCTGGAATTCACTTCTGATTAAGTCCTTCATTGTGTGGAAAGACATCTGCTGGTCCATGCATTGCAAAATCGTTGTCTCCTTCTTAGCAAGTGTGTCAGGAAACTCATTGCCTTTAATGCCACAGTGACCAGGAATCCATTGTAGGACCACAGTTTTTTTTTTCTCTCTCAGCAGCTACATTCCTATATCTCAGCTGTTTTGGGTGGCTCTCTGCTTCCAATTGAGTTTATTGCTGACTGTGAGTCCAAAATATTACCGCTTTGGTGAATTTCGTATCCAGGCAACAAAATGGCTTAGTTCTATCCTAATGGCCTCTATTTCTTCTTNTAGTTCAAAATTCGACATAATATCACCCCCTTTCCTCTTCGTGATCACTTGCTGAAAGCAACAACATTTTGAATGATTTTGAAATTGACACATTAATTTTTTTCAAATTTTGACTTCAGCCTCCCCCCGTGGGTTAGGGGGTATATTTAGAGCAGTAAATTAATAGCAGTTCATTAGCTGTCTTCTTGCTTCCCAGTATCTCTGGGTATTCGTCGTTGTTTTTAGGGCTGGATACCGAATCAGGTGGGTCTTCTTCATTTCCTCCTATAGGTTACATAGGGGACATGTGGGTTGAGTGTATACTCCCAATCTGTGAAGGTGTTTTGCCAAGCAATCGTGTCCGGTACGAAGTCTAAACTCAGCAACGGCTTCGATTCTTGGCCAGTCGGCTATGTCGGAGAGTGCCACTATCCACTGTTTCTCCTTTGTTCGAGCTTTAAGTTTGTTGCACCATGTGGTCTTGAATTCTCTTCTGATTAAGGCCTTCATTGTTTCAGCAAGCTCATTGCCTTTAATGCCACAGTGACCAGGAATCCATTGTTGAACCACTGTTTTGTTTTTCTCTCCCAGCAGCTCATAGCGTTTTCCTTGAGATTTTATTGTCTCATGGGTGTAAGATACGTAGTAAAGAAACATTTATGTTATTTCAACTTCACAATATTTTCCTATTCATTGGCTCACGTTCGAGTCTCCACTTTCCAGTGATTCTTTGGGCGTTCTTCCCTGCAACATCAAATCTTAACCCTCCACTTGAGGCGAAGGTGGCAAATTTATTGTTTGTGATATAACGCAGCATTCACTGCTCAAAAGAAGCAGAATTACAATGAATATGTATTAATATCAAATGGCAGGCGGTTTTATAGCTTTTATTAGCCCTCTATCTGACTTCGGGCTTCACAGAGAGGAGGAGGAACATCAAAGTGAAAAATTGTCGAGAGGGGAACAGAGGAGTGATTCAAAAATGCAAATCGACTGACAGACACAAAGGCAGAGAAAAGGTAAGATGATATAGAGTGAGGTGATGATAGTATGAAGCCAGAAGTCAACTGCCGGTTAATAGACTTTCTTGCCATATGAGTACATGTTGCCCAGGGTGCCCCACTTGGAGTTAAGTCAATCCCACACCCCGTGCAATGAATATAGCCGAAGACATCGATCTCTGAAAAGTTTAACTTTATTGAGCTCATTTAAAAGTTAAAATAGTAACTCAGAGTAATTTGCTCAACTATGTGAAGACAATGCATGCTGAGAGAATGTTGCAGTCTAATAAAGCTTTGTGTTGTGAAGATGGGAATTTGTATCTAAAAGTTCTTTGTATTGTTCTTAAATTTCCACGGACGCAAAGGGAGCTTCCTGTTGAAATTATTTCCAATCAAGACTTGTCCACTAAAAATGGCAAATAAACTGATTATTTGACAACCGTTAGATTTGTCGACGATACCGTTAACTAAAAAGCTAATTTGAGACGTGGCGTCGGTGATTATCATTGTTGGAANGAGCTTTAAGTTCGTTGCACATTGAGATCGTGAATTCTATTTTGATTAAGGCCTTCATTGTGTGGAAAGNGGCTTTGTGAATTAGATCAGCTTGCGTTTCCAATGTCTTGGTCTATTCTCATAGGTGTTGAAGAACGTATCCATGGGAATGCGCAGTANTGTGTCAGGAAACTCATTGCCTTTAATGCCACAGTGACCAGGAATCCATTGTAGGACCACAGTTTTTTTTTTCTCTCTCAGCAGCTACATTCCTATATCTCAGCTGTTTTGGGTGGCTCTCTGCTTCCAATTGAGTTTATTGCTGACTGTGAGTCCAAAATATTACCGCTTTGGTGAATTTCGTATCCAGGCAACAAAATGGCTTAGTTCTATCCTAATGGCCTCTATTTCTTCTTCAATAGCGGATTTATTATGTCCTGCTTCTGCGTAGAAAGTGAAGTTTTCAGAATAGGCACCTGTTCCAAAGTTTGCTTAGTTTTCTATGTGTGACCCATCAGTGAAGACTTGGAGCCATTGATCTCCAGTATAGTTAACATTGATTGTCTCAAGGGCCAGTAAGTGCATTTGTTCTGGAGGGGTGTTTGATTTCCTGAAGAAGTCAAGCAGTTGGGGACAACACACTACATCAGTGCCTGCTAATGGGTCCATGGAGAGAGAGAGGCTTTTTGGTTTGTCATCGATTTGTAATTCTTTCTACAGTTCTATGGCTTTGTGAATTAGATCAGCTTGCGTTTCCAATGTCTTGGTCTATTCTCATAGGTGTTGAAGAACGTATCCATGGGAATGCGCAGTAGCTTCTCATACATGATCAAGACCTTTTCTTTGATAAGGGAACATATTGTTGTAACTAAGAGCATTGCATCAATGGGTGTTGATTTTATCCCTGAACATGGCATTGCATCAATGGGTGTTGATTTAATCCCTCCAGTAATTAGTCGTAATTCTTGGTAGTGTGCCTTCTCGAGGGGTTTGAGAGTCACCTCCTTTGTGCCTTTTCAAGTGGTTTGAGAGTCACCTCTGTGGCTGTAATGGGTGACTCACAGCAATACAACATAATTGGCTGAATAAACACCTTGTAAGTTGAGCTGAGAGTTGGGCGTGCTCAGTCCCATACGCTACCAGAAAGACGCTTCAGTACATTCAGTCTATTGAAGACTCGTTCTGCTATTTTGGCAATGTGACTTTTCCAGGTGAGCTTTGTGTCAAACGTCATTCCGAGATAAGTGAACTCATTGGTTTTTTCTAGAGTAGAATCCTTGTGCCTTTGAAGCGGGCTCTAGGGTAATATCCTTGTACCTTAGTAGCGGGGTTATGCAGTAGAATCCTTGTGCCTTTGAAGCAGGTTTATCCTGTAACGGTCCAAAGAAAAAGTTTGAAATGCAGTTTTTGCGGTATTGATTACCATTCCATAGTTGTCGCACTAGTTTGCTAGTAATTTAAGTGCACAATTTAGGGCACTTTCTGTCCCTTACTGAGCGTTTTTCTTAGGAACAGAATACAATATAACAAGATCATCTACATCAAGTAAACACTTGATGTCCGTGACTGTCTGTACCAATTCGGCTATTTCATTGATGTCGATATTGAAAACAGTGCAGCTTGTGACAGCTCCATGTGGAAAGCCTGTTTGTAAAAGATTGGATTTTGATAGAGCATTTCAATGTCTGTCTTTACATGATCTTTGTCTAATGAATGCTTTTATCCAGTTTAGCATGTTATGCTTAATACCAATCTTTGCCAATTTCAGAATTAGCTTCACTTTCCATACTAAGTCATATGCTGATTTGAAATCGACAAAAACATCCGTAAGGGTATTTCTTGCATCAAGAGCATCTTTGATGTGTTGGGGAAAAGGTAGCTACTTGTTGGTTCGTTGATCTTTGTGGCCTAAAACCTGCTTGTTCACTCCAAAGAATATTGTTAGTCCTAAGGAACCATGTCAGCCTCCTGTTAACCATTCTTTTCATAATTTTAGCCAGCACGCTTGTGAGGGAGATTGGTCTATAGTTGTCAAAGTTAATAGGGTCTTTGCTATTACAATGGCAACTTTCCATTGGTTTGGTACGAGACTGGTCTCCTAGATTTTGTTGAAAAGCGTCAGCATGATTTTCTTGGCTGTTGATCCCATTTTTATTAGAAATTCCGGATGAATACCGTCTTCGCCAGGAGACTTCTTGCACCTGAGCTGTTTTATCGCAGCATTAAGTTTGCAAGGTTGGAATGGTTCAATAAGTACATTATTTGGTGTTGCTATGTCTTCTTTAATCTCACCAACTGTCTTACTTGTATTTTTAAATCTCTGGAAGATTTGTGGGAACAGAACCTCGCAAAGCAGTTAGCTATTTTGGAGTCGGTGGTAAGGAATTTGATGTTTAAACGTATTGGTTCTTTCTTGGGTCTTTCTCTGATGTTTTGGAGGTTACCCAGGAATTTGAAAGTGCCTTGGCTATACGCTTTGATAGTTGATATTTGAGATAAACTGTTCGAAGGAAGTCCGTTTAGTTGTAAGTTGGTTTGCTTTAGAACAGCTGGTTGTCGTCTCCATGCTTGTACGTCTTCCATTCTTCCAGTCTAATCAGCAGTGTTGGGCGTCCCTACATTTCAGTTCCTCAAGGTGTTTAGATCAAAACACTCGATAGATATTTGCCTCGGGGAATAGTTTTCTTTGCACATCTGATCATACCTCGGGGAATAGTTTTCTTTGCACTTCTAATCATAATATTCGTATTTTTGTTGCAAAGTTTTTTAGGATGTTGGCGGAAGTTGAGGGGACTTGCGTAGAGTTCATTGTTTAAAAGATTTGTAAATCTAGGCCAGTCAGCCTTCTTAAAGTTCCATGATAACTTTGTTAGCACTTTCTTTGTCATGCTTTGGCAGCCAATGATAATACTAGCAATGACTGGTTTGTGACCAGAACCAGCACTAGCAATGACTGGTTTGTGACCAGAACCAGGATCGTCATGCTCACTGATGTCTTCAAGGGCAAGTCAGGAGTTGTTCTGGATCCATTGTAGTGCAAATATGAGCGGGATCCGGCATGTCTTCAATTTCCTTTCCAGCTATGTGTTGATTAGCATGTCTTCAATTTCCTTTCCAGCTATGTGTTTTTCCTTTCCAGATATGTTTGTATCCTTGTCCATTGCTGTAAATAAGTTCCAGAGGATTGCTGTTTAGCATTTATTGGTTTAGCATGTTGGCGATTTCCTTTCCAGTCATGTTTTTATCCTTGTAGCCTCATATGGTGGAGTGGGCGTTGAAGTCTCCTAATACTACAGTTTTGTTTGAGATGTTCAGAAAGTCAAAGTTGGGACAATTCTGAGGTGGATTATAGACTGCATATAGCTTGAAGTGGTTTTGACATTTCCAAACATTTAATCTGACTATTTCACATATGTCTTGTGTCGAGACTATACTCTTGATTAGATCGTAGTTTGAGTTGAGGCCTTCTTTTACTCCAGTCAGAATTTCACTTGCAACTTGTCGGTATTTAGGTAGAAGGTACAGGGTGCCTGGGAATTGGTAGTACTTCAGTGTGGCATCCGAAATGTTAGCTTCCATAATTGTGAAAATGGCTACATCACTAAATGATATGAATTGGTAGTACTTCAGTTTGTCATCCGAAATGTTTGCGTGTTAGTATTACAGTTAGTCATCCAAAACTTTTTCCTCCATAATTGCGAAAATGTCTACATCATAGGTTTGAAGGATTTTCTGTACTTGGATCTTTTTGTCCTGTGACATCCCTCCAGCATTCCACTTGAGGATCTGAAGCCCTTGTGATTGGCCCTGACAAGGGTGATTTCTCTTATAGCCTTGTTTAAAGGAAATCATAATAAATCGAAGTCAAATCACAGCCAAGTTATAGACTTTTTTGCCATACAAAGATACGTTGTCCAGGGTGCACCACGTGGAGGTAAGTCTATTGCGCACCCCGTGATTAATATTGTCTAGCTCATATAGCACTTATACTTCAAGTTAGGATTTTGTGACAGTGGTGTTTACACTTACTATATTCAATCTCAGGAGTGCAGCCTTGAAATTATTCGGCTGCCGAGTAAACACCACATAAAGCGTTGTTACTTAAAGGCTTAGGATGTTTTCACTTGAAGCTGTTTGTAAGTGATTTGCATTTCAATGGCTACATGAGATGCGTTGCAATGTTGGTAGTGAATTATGACTTCTCATTTCAAAGGCATTATCTTGAATAATCGTTTATTCCATTTATGGGTGTATTCTGGTTTAGGGACATGAATTTTAGGTCATTTTTGAAGTGCATTATTTTTATTATTAATTTTTATTTATACATTATTTATTAACCCCAGAAGCATCCAAAAAATAATAAATAAATCAAATAGTTCCGTTGGTTATCAGTAGATATAGTGGGGGCGCCCAAAAATATGATGCATGACCATTTGTTACGGTTCATTAAAATCAAGATTATAAGTAATCCTACGCGCATAAATATGATCTTTTCCTTAATGTTTGAAAGTGGTCAAATTAAGTCGAATCATATAATTAAATTAAGTTGACGAATAAATACATTTTATTTAAAGAGTTAAGTAGAAATTTAATTTTTGTAGGATTAATACGGAAGTAGTAAGTTTCGAGTTTCTATTTTAATTTCCATTAATGAATGACACAGATTCTCTGTGAAAAATTAATTTGTGGAAAGTATTTTAAATGTCGAAACGCAACATGCAAATAGTGAAAGTTTGAATGTTGCTCCCATTTTAACAGTGAAAAGAGAGGGCGTTATTTATTATTAAAATGTGAAATTGAACTAAATCACGGTCGGACAAACATACTACTTAGTGAAATCAGTAGATTAAAACAATTCATGGAGAATTTTAGAACAAAAACATTCTTTTACTGCCTGTAATGGCACATGGTTATGGGTATATGCTAGTGCTGGAACATGCATCAATCAAGTTCATTATTAATGAAATGAGGACAAAAATAATCTTCTTTCGAAGTTCAAGTAATCCCTTAAATGCGCTAAATGGGATTGTCTAGATTATTAAAATACTTGCCATATGTTTCTCATTTTCTTTCACGCAAAATTATTATATTTGGCTGCCAATATAGTCAGAAAATATCGCTTCAAATCAACTAGAAGGTTTTTATATGTTAAATATTTCCGGCACTCAAACAGATATTTAATAAATCATTATATTGGAATGCTTTTCTTAAAGGTTAAATTGAGATGACACTCTTAAGAACATTCTTGAATAAATGATATAAAATTATCAATGAGACATGATAAATTGCATTTATAAAGACATGACAAATTATCTGGGTTTGGATTAATATTTAACCCACTTCCTAATGTGCATATAAACAGAAATATTTGGCTAAGGGTACGTGAGATAAGAAGTCACTGTTTTAAATTGATGACCTGAACTTCGAGACAAAAGTAAATTTCATAAATATTAAATAGCTCAAATAGCACATTTTACTTCAAGTGAGTATTTCGGGAGCATTATTTTTAGTTGCAGTGATATTTTTATAGTGCCAATTCAGTCTCGGGAGTACGGCCTTGAAATTAATCCGCTGCCGAATAAACACATGATCAAGTACCATCACAAAAAGGCATTATGAGGGTTTAGGATATTTTCATGATTATCATTCCAATGACCAAATGAGATTCTAATACGGCATGGGCAGTAAATACCTAATTCTTCATATATTTAAAAGTAAGCGCATAGATAAACCCCTTCTCGTAAATTACAACGACTCGTTCAGCCAATCAACAAAGACTCTCGCACAGTTTCAAAATTGCACAAATTTGATTTTCTGGCTGATTTCTCTCTTATGCGCACTCTTCTGCACTCGATCACAAACTCAATTTGTTTTCATCTTAAAATGTATTGCCCTTGTTTCAATATGCCACGAATGTCTGTCTTTTTCTTCTTCTCCACTTCAATTTATCCTAACTTGTTGATGGTCTGTGATATACGCTTTTGCAGCTAACAATTAAAGACCCCAGGTGGCACCAAACAAGAGTGATAAGAGCAAAAAGATAAGTAACAGGTCTCTTTGCATTTCATTTGTAATACAAGTTCGAGTGTTTATTGGTAGACCGTACCTGCATATGTGGATGTTGGGCCAATTGATGTGAAAGGTGGGAAGAAGGAAGGTGAGATGCCAAGAAACCAGCACCACAAGTAGTTGCTTTAATTCACATGTGAGATAGCATTTGGCGTCCACAGACATTACTCATTATTCCACATGAAATTGTTGCGGACACCTTGCAGGCCACCCATAGGGAAAGGAAATTGGTGGATATTAGCCGCACTCCATTTGATCTGTACAACTGCCAAAGATGATCCCTGCACGAGGAGAGGGCCAGCATTGAGATTACAACTCGGGTACCAAAACTTGTCTAGAAATTGCCAATGACTGCCATTGCTAATGAGGCGCACGCCATCCAGCAGTATTGAGAATTCTCAATTGATCCATGTGAGGAGAAATGGTGAGAAGTAGTGAAGGGTAAACTTGTTGTTCACTAGCTCTATTTCACTTTCCAACATGTACTAATGACAGGAGCAACAATTTCTAATGATGATTTCCTCTTTAGAGTGAGACCGTGGAAGAAGACCTCGGCAACGACCTTCTTGCGGAGTGGCCAATCATGTCACTCGCATATAGGCAAAAGATGAGGAGGAGTCTTCCACAACTGCACAGTAGCCTACATCTCTACGAGTTGGCTGATGTGTTCGAGGACTTTGTCAGAAGCATTCAGCCTTCTGACATAACCATCGCAATAGAGGTAGGTTGAGTGGCTCAATTGTATCACCACTCTCTATATGCCTTCATATTCACGCGAAAGATGTCACTGAACCTGTAATCGATTTGGTTCTAATAATACCTATTTGTTCCCGTTCATTTTGTACTTTGGCGGTGCTGTTAGGGCTACTGGGAAATACTTGGCAGAGCTCTTAGGTGAAGTCAATCCTAGATTTCAATCACAAATGGCCAGATAGGCAGGCATCCAATAATCATAACATGGTGCATAAAAGTTATTGGTGTAAGGCCAGGGCAGTTGTCGCCACCGCAAACTTCCCAGCACCTAAGAGAATACCTGAAATGTAGCCGAATCAGCGTTGTCTCCCACTTCTCTTCTCCTCTTCACTTCTTCAATTGTAGAAGGCGTTTATCACCGATTTGAGACGATTTCTCCAAGAGGAGTATCCGGGACCCAGGTTGGAGTTGTTTGGCCCCTCGGCGAGTGGCTTTGCATCAGAATTCAGTGATCTGGATTTCACATGGTGTTTGCCGAAGGTAGCCGAGAGACAGACACTTGGAGAAGTAGGGCAAAAGATGTCCAAATTGTGGCAAGTCCATTCCACCAATTCTTCTACTCAACACGCGTAATCCTTCCACCCATTTACCCCCTCACTCGCTCACTTGCCATTTTCCCTTTGTAGGTGCTCAAGGAAATGGCCTTAATATTGATGTGGAATAAGAATTTGAAGAATAAACAACTTGACGCAGTTTTTTATGCGAGGGTGAGAATCGTAAAGTTCAAATCCTATAAGCACCAATTCGCAGTAGACTTGAGCTTCTCCAATCATTTGGTGAGTTGAATGTCGTAATTAGGACTGAGCAGTGTCATCTGTTTACGCAGTAGTCTCATCTCTCCTTGCCTTACTTTACCTTAACTCACCTCACATCACTTCGCCAATTCTCTTTCTTCCATGACTCTTCGAAAACCGCTTTTCTCAATGAATATACCAAGTACGAGCCACTGCTAGTGAGTCTGGTTGTGATTCTGAAGAAAATCATCAAGGTAGGATGTGTCTTTTTTGTGCATGCGAGGCATATGCAATGGTCTCTGATGCGTGATAATGTAAAGCACGCATTTTCTCCCTTTCAGGAAAGCGACAACTTGCCCTCGGGTGTGGGTGGAATTTCCTCCCATGCCTACTCTCTCTCATGATGATATTCTATCTCCAACAGTAAAGCTACCTGCCCTGCCTCCAGACAGCAAAAGCCATTGAAATTGACCACAACCTTCGTCACTTTCCCGTCATGGGAAGGGGAGAGGAGTTCAAGTCACCACATGCAACCGAACATGTCTTGAACATCGCAATGCCTAAGATATTAAGACTTCCATCATAAATGTAGTGCTGGGTTGTGGTAGAAGACGGATTGATTTTGACTTAGTCTCCAAACATACTTGATAAATCGTAGAGGTGGAGGCTGTTGTGCAATTGCCCATCTTTTGCATATTCTTACGCAAAAGCTTTGGCCTCTTCGCTTCACAATCCTTCACACCTCCTTCTTCCATGGTCTCAATCTGAGACACAAAGAATGATTCCCTCTAGTTCATACAACATTAATCGATTTGAAAACCGGTGAAGTGGTGAATCGGCCGAGCTTCCAGCAAAGTGTCCATTCACAGCCCAAAGACAAGTCTTTGTAGAGTTACGGTGGTGTTCAAGACACTGGTTGCTTTATCAGTAGATGATGGGCCTTTATTGCTAATGCATCTGGTGAGAAATAGGGTTGATAATAAAATATTAATTCTGGTTGGAGCTTTCTAACTGCTTCAACCA